GTCTCTTTCGATTCAAAGGCAGGATCTATACCTGATTCACAGTTTCATCTTCCCCAGAGCCTAGCTTTTGATAGTAAGAATGCCAGATTTAGGGAAAAAATATTTTAAAGGATACCTAGTAAAATCTGATACTCAATTAAAGACTAATTTTAAGTATATTATTTGAATATTCTGCATATTTAAATGTCACTTGGAGCATACTTATAACAAGTCATTGCTCCTTATCTGAAGTTCCAACTTGGTGCCCTGCATTTTATCTGGCAACCTTATGAATAGATACTCACAAAATAGTTTTTTAATGAATGAATTTCAGCAAGTGCTACAAATCTGACTATGGTATCATTAGCACTGATTGAACTAACCTCAAATAGTCATAAATTACAGATATCTTTGGAAAGGATCGTGGTGGCAATTTATTCCAACTTTCTAGTTTAAGGGTTATTTTAAAACATAGGCTCTCTCTGAAACTTGCTCCAAGTCACGCAATTAGCTGATGTTCTGGCATCACACGTCTTTGAAACTGGAAATTTTAAAAACATAGAGCAGATCATCAAAGCTGCAGAGGGCTCTAAGGATGCAGAGAACTTGGACTGTACTTCTGTATAAGCTCACCTTCTCATCCCGGGGTGAGAATTTACGGCTGGTTCAGCCCTTGTTTAATGCTCTATGTGTCTCTGTACGCGTCTGCACACACTGTTTCGAATGGAAAAGTCTTAAGAGTCAATGACTGTCCTCTCTGGTCACTGATTGGTCCTGCTAAATAAAGTATAATTGTAAAAAGAACCCCTGAAATATACCAACAGAACCAGAACAGACCTCAGTAAACTGATCTGGGCCACAGTTTTGGTCCCCCTCACTTCTGGCAGCGCTTTTCTTCCTGGTAACCCTGCTACTGCCCTTGGGACTCTCCGGGAATCCTGTCTTCCAGGCTTCCCTTCCTGCAGGGCCTTGTCTCTGTGGCACTCCTTCCTCCCATCAGAACTTCCCCGCCCTGCTGGCATCTAACTGCCAGGTGGGAAAACAACCTGATAAACTGACCCGAGCAAGGTGTGAAAGGCTGACGTGGTTTTCATGGGCTTCATGTGCACCTCCTCCAAGAACCAGCTTAAACGTCATGCTTTCTGTGAAACCTCTGTTGATTTCCCCAGGAAGTTAACGGCTTCCTCCTGGGAGCCACCCCACACTTCTACCCACTCTCTGCTATGTCTGGTAGCTCTCTGGTTGAGGTGTAATTATGCATTTATAAGTGCACATACACACAATGGCTTCTTCACCGACAGGGGCAATTCCTTCTTTATATTCATACTGCCAACACTTAATATGGCTTCTGTCTAATCAATATATATTAAATTATTAATATACTATTAAATATATATTAAATAATTATTAATATATTAAGTGTTTTTTAAAAAATACATTGAAACAGGGATTCTTAGATAATAATTAAATGGTGACCCTTAGATTAGAGGAGCAAACACTGAAAACAGCCCAAAAGGAAGACTTTTTAAAAAAGTTCTGTGGTCTAACATGTAGTCTTCAGCTATGTCTAGCATGTCAGCCCTGAAGATCCCTTCAGAGAACAGGACTATTGCTGATTCAAGAGTGTTTACGATGCAAACGCTATAAAACTTAACCTGCTCTGTTTCTTCTAATTATTACCTCCAACTAGGCTGTCTTAAATCTCTCTTCCATTTCTTGAATAGTGTCTTGGACAGAGTCCATAACTTTCTGGTCACTTTTAATTACTAAACACAGGCTTAACAGTTCAAGACAGGAGGGGGCCAATGAAGCGTGGCATGCCCTTCCACTGCTCCCCTTCCTTCTCGGGTCTGTTTCCTCTGAAGCTGGGGGCAGGGGTGGGACAGGAGAATCAGAGGTTACCTTACAAAACCATCCATTTAGCAGACCAAGGCGTAAGGCATTTCTGGAATCTCCTTGACTTGGAATGGCTCTGTCCTTTGATGGTGGCTTCAACGGATGTAGTGGTCTCTGTGAGGATGCAGTGCTTAGTTTCTTGAAGTGGTGCTTAGTTGTCACAATGTAACCAAGCAGGACCCTCCCCCCCGGGGCCTTCCCTAACAGACCACTTCCCCAACCCATGTCCTCCACCTGCTTCTTATCTGTAGAAAAACTTCAGCCTCCTAGGGCTTCCTCAAGTTCCAAAGAGTACATTTAATCAGAGAAGTGAGAAAACACAGAAAGAAAGGAAGACAGTTAAGTGAGACAAAATAGGAATAGTTTAGTCATTAAACAAAATCAAAGACCTTTAAGTTCCTCCTCAAAGGCTATAGACAAAATTCTGAGCCATATCCTTTGAGCTGTTTCGCTGACACTGAAACTGCCACCAGGTGGCAGAAGTTAACCATATGCTGACCACAAGCATGTAGACCCCAGACTGGTAGGAACCAGAAGGTTGATGATGTTCACTCCTGATTACCTCACCACCAGCCAATCAGAAAAATGTCCATGAGCAGATGGATACCCTGCAACCCCCCTCCCTTATCCTGTCTTTAAGAACCTTTCCCTGAAAGCCTTCTGGGGGTCCAGGTCTTTTAAGCACCAGCTACCTAGACTCCTTGCTTGGTGCCCTGCAATAAACGCTGCATTTCCCCTCACCGCAACCTGGTGTCAGGGATCGGTTTTACAGCACGTGGGCACAGGCACCTATGTTTGGTTTAGTAACACTGAGGCTATTCTCCCTCCACCCCTGCTGCAATATATTTTTTTCTGGGTGGTGGGGGGCCCCCTTTGGCCCTGTGGCTGTCTGAGCTGCTTTAGGAATCTTGCCCCCCACCTAACCACCACATTCTTTCCCATGAAGCCTCACAACTCATGGGTTCTCTTCCCAAAGATTCTTTACTTTGGGGCCTGTAAGCCCCACAGGAACAGGCTACACTATTTCAGAATATCTAAATAAGAAATAGGCACTTTCCTCCATGTTCACAAACATGCTCTTCTTCTGAATTCCTTGTCAAGCTTTCCAAGGAATTCTCTCACAACACTTCACTATGTTCCAA